TGGTTCAGCTAAAAAAAAACAGGGCACATAGAATATCAAGTAAGCAGAAAATCCCTGTGCCTTTTAAAACTTATTCAGTTTAGTCTAAGAAATTACCTGATTACAATCCAGCATGCTTCTTGCCACAAATCTGGGGTGATTTCATCATCATCCTCATCATATTGCATATCTACAAAAAACAAAAATATTGTACTCATTTGGAATAAAATGTTATTGGTTAAGATTTTGCTCCTATGATATGAAGTAGCAGAAACAGTTTCTGCTAAATAAAAAGCAATTCTTTTACCTCAATTTCCTAAAATTTCAGTCAATTACATTATTTAAATGGTAATGAAATAATACACATAGGTATACATCTAAGTACATATAGGTCTACATCACATAGGTATTTGTCCAATATACAAAGAGGCCTCATTACAAAGGTTCAGCGTTTGGTTGTGTGAATTTCTAAGTTTTCCATCTTCTCCAGAAAATCCATATAATTCTCATCAATAGCTAACTATAATAATAACTAGGAGCAAGCTCACAATCCTGATCAATAAGCTCCACAGAGACTGGCATCAGAAATTAGGGTAAGGGATAGACACAGAAAAAGGTTCGTACAGCTGGGCAATATTTTAAGGTGGGGTGGTCCATTACAGCAATATTTCATACATATACAGGTACGACAGGTTGTATTTTTCAAAGATGGCCACAACCATATCTTCCATTTCACAAGCTTTTTTATGTGATCTCGACATTCTTACCATCAAAATATTGGGTTCTATGTTTCCTCCTTCCCTTTGAATCTGGGTGGGTTTTTTATTTTCCCAAATCTAAGGGAACCCAGCTAAAGAGACTTTTTGTTGTTGTTGCGTGACTTTAGAAGCTAGGTCAGGAAAGGCAAGGTTTGTTCCACCTTGTTTGCTGAAACACTTGTTTCTGGAGCCCCAAATTGCCATTAAGAAGTGTTACTACTCTAAGACTGGTGAGGAAGCTCAAAGCATAAGGAAAGGCCACTTACAGATTGTCCAGTCAGCACTCCTAGTCCTTGAGTTCTCCAAGGCCAGGTGCCTATCATGTGAGTAAACACTCCAGATTACCCAGCCCCTACATGTCAACACTCAGCCTTTGAGTCTTCCCAGTTGAACTACTGACATCATGGAGCAGACAAGTCATTCCTACTATGCTGTCCAAATTTCTGACCACTTGAATCCATGAACATATTAATTTTTAGGCAGCCAAATTCTGGGGCTGTTATGCAGCAATAGTAATTTGAACAATGGGGTATTTGAAAAATCAGTATGCACTGATCCTCTAATATTAGCCTCATCTTCTTATGTAAAAGAGTAAGTGTGCAGCATCTGTTTTGCTTTTACATTCTAACTTATATATAGTCTATAAAACTTAACTGTTTTAGATTCAAAATCCGATACGTATCCAAAATAAATTATTTAATAAACGCTTCTTGAACAGCTTGGAATTACTGATCCTTACCCATAGGGGAAGGGTAAGAAAGACAAAGGTATCTAAAATAGCTCAGAGATTTCTAGCTTTGATTACAGGTTAAGAGGTTAATATCACAGCCACACAGGAAAAGCAAGTAAGAAGGTGGGAAAAGGAAAGAAATAAGATCAGCTTTAGGTATACTTACAGAACATTTATCCCTTTAAATACTTACAGTAGGTAACTGGATCTAAATATGAAACTCAAATAAGGGATCTAAATTACAAAGAGTTGAGACTCATTAACATATGGTTGGTAAAATATAGTTTACAGAGAAGGAAAACTGAAGGCAAGATTAGAGAACACCCCTATAAGAGTCACGTGAAAGACAACGAACCCATAAAGGTTATTAATCATTTATTCATTCATCCATTTTCAAATATTTATTAAATGTGTTTATTATGTCCCAGGCAATGGAGACAACACCTTCAACAAGATAAAAGATGGCTGCATCCTCCAGGAGATTATCACTTACCAGGGCGATACAGACAGATGGAAGTCAATTAAGAGTAAGAACAGTGACATGGAAAGTCTTAACCAGGACCTGAGGTTAGGCAAGACTTCGCAAAGGCTGAACTAAACATAGATGACATGCATGAATAAATAGGAGGAAATCAGGCAAAAGGAGGGGGGGCATATAAGAGGAGTAGAGAAGTATTCCAAACAGAAAAAACAGCTTGTGCAAAAGATATTCAAGGAGTGAAAGGCCAAAGTAGCTGAAGCACAGAGCGTGCAGTGGGGAGTAGTAAAAGAGCTTGGTCTTTACCAATAGAGCTTTGAGGAACCAGTCTAAGACTTTAGCAAGGCTGTGGCTACTAGATCAGATTTTCATTTTTGAAAGATCACTATGGCCACAGTAAAAAGTGGATTGAGAGGCAAGAAAACTGGAAGCACACAAACCAATTAGGAGCCTGGAGAAAATCTAGGCAAGGTGGTGGTGGCCTGAATTAGAATTGTGGCAAAGCAGACAAAGTAATGACTACATCTAACATATTTAGAAGAGAGAACCCCCAGGGCTTGATGACTCACTAGATATAGGGGTGAAGAGAGCAATCAAAAATCATGTCCAGGATTCTGATTTCGACAACAGAGGAAGGTGAGAGCAACTGAGATGGAGAACACAAGAGGAAGCAGCTTTGAAAGGGGGATGAGTAAAGGAAAATGTTCAGTTTGGGTAGTGACAAGTTTGAGGGGCTTGAGAGACATCACGTGAAACTGTCTAGTGGCAGTAAGACATGCAAGACATCTGGATTGGAAATATAATTTCAGAAGTTATTCACATATAGATGGTAAATGAAGCCTTGGAGAATGGATGAAATCATCCAGGGAGAGAAGAGGATAAAAAGGAAAGGCACAATATAGAAAAAAGAATTAAGTGAGAGTGATGTGGCAAAAGAAAGGAGTGAGTTTCCAGGAGGAAGCCATCAACAATACTGAATACCACTGGGTCTGGATAACGTTTTAAAATGTCCACCTGATTTATCAGCTGAGAAGTCATTGATATTCTTATTAAAAGCTGTTTTAATGTAGTGGCATGAGCAGAATTAGATTGCAGTGGGTTGAGAACTGAAAGACAGGAATTGCAATCAAGGACAGCCTATTCTTTTTAGAAGCCTATTGTGAATGAAAGGAGAAAGGCAAAATATTGGAAGAAAAAGGAAACGAGTTTAACTTACTTTCTTGCGGACAAGAGAGATCTAGTAATTCACACAGAAAGAAGCCAGCTGAAAAGGAGTGTCTGAAAACTAACATATCTAATAAAGATACAAAGGACACAGGCAGGAATGTCAACTCAAAGGTGAAGGAGACTTGACAAATAGGGTGACTTATAACTCTTTTTTCCACAGTATTATACATTGCTAATAAGAGGATAAACTAGAACAATCACTATCATGGTCACTTGGCACCATCTAACAAAATGTTAAGCATGTATGTATCATTTGACCTGACATTTCTACATCTAGAAATTATCCTACAGACATACCTGTATTGAACAAAATGACACATACAAGATTATTCATTCCAGCGCTGTTTGAACCAGAAAAAGAAAAAAAGGGGAGGCAACCCAGGTGTTCATCAATAAGACACTAAAGTTTTGGTGTATCTATTCAAATTAGGTAGCTGTGGGGTAAAAAATGAGAACGCTCTCTATGGATTGTTATGAAAATCGTGTGTGTGTATATAATATATGCACATATAAAGTAAAAAATAAAAGCGCAGAAAAGTGTAAATGTTCCTGTAAAAGGGGAAGGGGGGAGAGAACAGAATCCCATTTATTTCCTTGAATATGCATAAAGCACTATGGAGTGATAAGAATCTAAGAACAGTGGTTACCTGCTATGGAGGCGGTTCATACTGGGAGATGGTGGACAAAAATCTGACACACTAACATTTTTATATTTTCTGGCTTGTGAGACACAAAAATATATTACCTACTCAAAATATTAAGTTAAAAAAAGTTTTTGAATTTCTTTTCCATTGAAATGGGAGTTAAGAAAAAGGAATACAGTAATGCTAATAAATTTCTAGATTCAAGATATAATTACTGTTTAGCAAAGTTTAAGCTTTTGTTTTTCGATTTTCTCCATGAAGTAGCTGAGGGAATAAGAAGAAATGTGAAGGGTGAACACGGGATGGGAGCTAGCAGAAAATGAAGTTTGAAATAGTAGCTGTGGAGAATGGAAGAGGGAGCTTTAGAAATACACAATGAAAATACATGAGACGTAACAAATTCTATACGTGAAAAGAAAAGCTATATGTCATTTTGTGGGAAAAGGAAATTTAAAGGTCATCTTTCAAGACAATTTCCTTAGACATATAACGGTATGAAGGAACTAGACCAACCCCCACCCCCAATCCCACACACACTGTACTTTTTGTCCAGGGCCTAGCACAATGCCTGGCACAGGTTGACGCTCAGAAATTCAACTGTTCAAGAAATCCACTAACTCTGGTTTAAAGGGAAATGAAGAAAGGAGCCCTTTACTTCAGATAAAGTCAAAACAAGGGAATCTGTCGTATGGTTCGAAACGATATTTCAATACGGGAAGGCGGTACGATTTATACAGGAGCAGGCAGTGGAGAGAAGAAGTGTCACCCAGACCGGGAACATTAATGCTACATTCCCAGCACCCTCCTCCACCTCTCGTAATCCAGGTTTCGTTCCCGGACTGGGGTATGTGGAGAACATGACGGGACACTTGTGCGACGGGCCGCCAATTCTCAATTTGTCCAGCTCCCCACGTTTCCCTACTTAGATGGGTCGCCGCGGTGTGTTCTGAGCGATCACCTACCCTCGTCCGCGTCATACATGTTTGCAAACGGTTCCTGAACTCTTTACTCTTGAAATCACAGAAAAGGGCGCAGCAGCCACCGCCACCAGGAGCGTGAGACAAAGCAACTTCCGCCGCCGGCGTTCCCAGAATACTTTGCGTCTTCCGCCAAAGGCCGCCCACAAGACGCCAACGTATGATCTGCGCCTGCGCATATGGTAGGCTAAGGTTGCCATGGGTTAGAACTGCGCACGCGCAAACTGTAGGCCTACGCCTTCAGTGGCTGGTTGCGCACACCGCTCCTACGGTCTGAAGATCGGTTCCAGCCAATGAAAGTTTTTGGTCGTTTTTAAGTACTACACAAATAATGACACCTGAAAAAGAGCAAGAAACGACTTAATAAAAATGTTAATTGTGGCCGTGAGTTCACGGCATTCGATGCTCTATTTTTTGCACTTCTAAAGCCGAAAAACAATGCTTTCTAAAACGTGACTTATTAAGGGCGGGTTGTGCCAGCGGCGGTGCATTGAAGAAGCCTGAAAGTGACAAAACCCTCACTAGCTTCTTCCGCCCAACCAGCAGAGTCTATCTAGGTCTCCGGTACCTTTGCCGCAACTTTGAGCGGGCTCTCAAGCCTTGGGGGCCTTCATCGCGGGAATTCGCGGGATTAGGTGCGGGAGGAGGAGCCGAAGTGTGGTGGCTGACAAATGACAGCTCTCAGGTAGTTCCGGGCTTAGTCTCGGGTTTAATGCGCCACTCGGACCGCGGTGTGTGTGCGCGCACGTGGCTCCGCCCCTTTGTTCAGGGCCGTGTTCCCCATGCTATCTGCACGCCTGGCTGGTAGACTGCTTTGCCCCTTGGTGCGGGGATCGGCTCCCACGGTAGGGAGCCATGGCCTCTGGGAGCTGCTCCTCAAGAGCAGATGCGCGGCCGCCCCCTCCCAGCACCTGTCGGGCCTGGGACGTGGGCTTCCTGGTGGCCCGACGGCGACTGGAGGTTACGAAGGAAGGGATGACATGCAGGAGCGTTTTCTGTTCCCCGAGTACGTCCCGGAGCCGGAGCCCGCACCGGCCGTGGAAGAGCAGCTACGGGAGCTGAAGCAGCGGCAGGAGGAGGAGGAGCGGCAGAAGCAACAGCGGCTGGAGGAGCGGCGGCAGCAAAAGCTACGGGCCAGTCGCCGGGTGCACCCGGTCGTGGGGCACCCGGACCCGACGGTGCCTCCCAGCGGCCTGAACTGCTCGGGGTGCGGGGCACAACTGCATTGCCAGGACCCTGCCGTGCCCGGCTACCTGCCCAGTGAGAAGTTTCTTAGCGCGGCAGCGCAGGCCGACGGCGGGCTGGCGCGGACCGTGTGCCAGCGCTGCTGGCTGCTGGTGCATCACCAGCGCGCCCTGCGCCTGCAGGTGAGCCGCGAGCAGTACCTGGAGTTGGTGAGCGCCGCTCTGCGGCGGCCGGGACCCGCCCTCGTGCTCTACATGGTGGACCTACTCGATCTGCCCGACGCCCTGCTGCCCGACTTGCCGGCGCTGGTAGGCCCCAAGCAGCTGATCGTGCTGGGGAATAAGGTGGATCTGCTTCCCCAGGACGCTCCCGGCTACCTACAGCGGCTCCGGGAGCGGCTGTGGGACGACTGTGCCCGCGCCGGGCTCCTGCGGCTCCCTGGCCACCGAGGGCCACAGCACCCCGGCGGGGAAGGGCCACCGGACGGGAAGGAGAATTCGAATGCTTCCACCAGCTCCCGCACGGTGCTCAGGGACGTGCGGCTTATCAGCGCCAAGACTGGCTATGGAGTGGAAGAATTGATCTCTGCACTTCAGCGCTCCTGGCGCTACCGCGGCGACGTCTACCTGGTTGGTGCCACCAACGCTGGCAAGTCCACTCTCTTCAACACGCTCCTGGAGTCGGATTACTGCATCGCCAAGGGCGCTGAGGCTATCGACCGAGCTACCATCTCCCCTTGGCCTGGTGAGCCTGAAGAGGCCCCCCCTTAATGCCACCAGGGACTGGAGCCTTCCCTGTAAAAATTCTCTCCCTACTTTGGCCATACCAGTCTTCGGTGTCAGCTTAGTGCTTAAAAATTTAGTATATGTCATAGTAACTTTCTGATAGAAATATTTATGGAGCACTTCTATCTTCCAGTCACTGTTCTAGGCCCTGGAGATAAACCAGAGAACAAAGCAAAGTTCCTGCTTTCTTGGAGGTTTTCCTTGTACCTTTACTTTGTATGTTTCCCCAGAAAATCCTTTGACTTTCTAAACCTCCCTTCCCCCCCTGAATCTTACTCTATATATCTTGAGTTTATTCATGATGTCAGTATACCATGAAAGTTTAACATTTGAATAGTTCACTAATACAATATGATGTGTGGCTTGAGAAGGCATGTCAATGTTGTGGCTTTAAGAAACTTCTGTGATTGCAAAATGGGTCCCATTTACTTGTTCCTTTGAAACCAGTGTTTGACTTTGTTTGGTAAGCTGTTCTTCGCTGTCCTAAACTTTGAATTATACATAGAAGTACTTTTATTTAGTATGGTGAAAATGGAAAGAAATCAGGCCTGCAGGTTTGGAATTCACCTCCTGGTTGAGCCTGTGAACCATTCTCTGAATCTGTTTCATCTGTAAAGAATAATTTTGTAGAGAGTTGTCATGAAATAAATTACAGTACCCAAGACAGTGTAGCTCCTTGAAAATGTTAGCTTATTCTCTTGTGCAATGTTTATAAAAATATATTCTTTGATGTTTCAGGTACAACATTAAACCTTCTGAAGTTTCCTATTTGCAACCCAACTCCTTACAGAATGTTTGCAAGGCAAAAAAGGCTTAAAAAAGATGCAAATGAAGTTGAAGAAAATCTTAGTCCGCTAGAACAAAATCAACTTAATCTCTTGAAAAAGCATGGTTATGTAGTAGGTAAGCATCTTCTAGAGGAAAACTCTTGTTGGGTCTATGCTAAAATTCTTTGTTGAGCAAACTGAAGTACAGCTATCTGGGGTTAGCCAGTTTTTGTGAGGAGAGACTACTTTTCTCATTCTGGAACACAGAGGCCCTTTAGAAGGAAGGTGGATGTTTGGAAAGCCAGAGTTCATTGTGCTGAGAAAATTGAGGAAGTAGGTACTTGGAGAAATGCAGGAAAGGAATCATATAGCAACTGCCCACCTAGCCATTCAGTAGTAGAAGCATTTTCGCTAAGATACAACCCCGCTCCTTGCAGACCAGTACCGGTTGTTGACTCCATGCAGCTGCTTTAAATTAGATGGTCCCTCTTACCTTGGTTATCTCTTCAAGCTTCATTTACAAAAATAGTTTGACTTCCAACAGTTCTCCCCACCCACCCCACTCTGATATACACAGCCAGCCACACACTTGATTGCAAGAGTCTGACCCTCACTGACTTTGGAAAAAAAAGCAAAGCTATCATTGTAGTCTCACTTACATATCCCGTAGTTACTCTTAGTAACTTGTTTGAGGCAAACATAAGAATGATCTTTAAAGGCTTTAAAGGAGTGACTCATAACTTCCGTATAACTTGTTCTAGGAAGAGTTGGAAGAACATTCTTATATTCAGAAGAACAGAAGGATGAAACTGCCTTTGATTTTGATGCTGATTCACTTGCCTTTGACATGGAAAATGAACCTGTGAGGGTTGCAGATAAATCCACCAAACGAGTAGAACTGACCCCACAAGATGTGAAAGACGCCCACTGGTTTCATGACACCCCTGGAATTACAAAAGAAAATTGTGTATGTATTTGACGTTTTTTAGAAACATTAACTTTCGATGGTATGAGTACTGTCTTAATTGACAGAACACAGGAAAGGAGGTTTACTTCCATTATAGACTCAGTTCCGATTCATTCATAGAAGCAGTTCAGGGATGAATCTGTGTGCCATCAAGTTTTGTATTCCTTTTGGTGGGCTTCACTGCTGATACCCCACTTATAGTATTGTGGTTGTTACTTTAGTAAGACATTTACAGAATCGTAGATTTCGAGGTTGGAAGAAATCATAAATAACAGTCCAGCCATCTATTCCGTGCTTGAATTCCCTCTATAGCATAGCCTTCAAGAGGGCGTCCAGCTTGACCTGAAGTAAGGAGTGACTCACCATCAGCTGAAACAGTGTCACCTTGCCTCCCAACATAACCTATTTGGTCTCTGACCTGCTTTTTGTGTTGAGCCGAACCATCTCCCTATAACTTACACCCATTGTTCCTCAAAGGTGTATGGAATGACTGGAATGCCTATTTCCGTTGCCAGACTTTGAAGTATTTTACAGTATGATGTCCTATCTCTTCCCCACTCTACCATTTTCTTCTCTTTCATTAGTTCATCCAACAAACATTGAGCACTTACTGTGCTGGCAATCCAGATTATTTGTCGTTATTTTCTACATATGTTCTCTCTGAGACAGGCTATTCATCAACCCAGGCCCCTTTTCAGAATGTTTTCTAATTTGTTTTTGTATTCTTTATGACACTGAACTAAATTTCTTGTATAAGTGCCTTCAGATGAGCATAATTGAGAATAGGATTAACTCTACCTGTCTTGCCCTTATATATCTTTCTAATCCAATTGCAGGATCTGCTGGACACCTTTGATTTTATGGTGTTAAACTCAGCCTATGTCTTACAAACTCAGTGAATCTCACAGCTTTTTACTCATTTGCAGTTTTGATCATCATCCAAGTCATTGATGGACTCAAGTGTGCATCTAGGATACAGCCTTACCACAGATCCGTATTCAGCTTCCTTTGAATCTGGTTATTGACTAGTTTCTAATTCGCCTAATTATCTCTGTTTCTCCCTGTAAAACAACACTGGTTTCTTAGGTACTTTTCCTTCCTTTGCCTCATCAGGATCACTTACAGTTTCATTCTCAGAATTGTATTCTGTTTGGTGACTCGTGTCAGAATCAGGTAGCTCTTTTAACTTTTTTTCCTCCTAGAATAATTGTTTATGTCCAATCTTTTCTTCCTTGGCAATCCATAACTGTCCAGAGTAACTGGACTGCTTTCTAATAATGTTCTGTCACTTTAAACTTCAACTCATTTTTCCCTTTTGGACTCAGGTCAGGGATAATAGTCATGTACCCTCTTGTCAAATAGTTAGAAAGGCAAGAATTTGCTAAATATTCTAGCTAGCAGAATGAAACCCTCAAGATTTTAGATACAAAGTTTCTTTACGGTAGTTTACTTCTGTGTCAGTTCATTGATATATTTATTTGATGCCTTAAACCACTGTTTTCCCAAACTGAGCCAAGGAACTTTGTGAAATAGAAGTATTAGGTTGTGCTAAAAGGGTTACAAGGTTTCTTTACTGCAGGTGGCTTTTAATGTGTTTTTTCAAACACAAATGCTGAGCCCCCTTATTTATTTTTTTGTGAGCCTCTCTAGGTATCACCTATTTTTTATTTCCTTGTTATTTTTCTTAAGAATCAAGTTCACAAAAGTATTTTTTCCATCTTTTTTTATCTTCTCTATTCTTTTTCTTTTTTAATCAAATTTTGATTCCTTAAATCTTACCAGAATCTTGTACTTCTTGGCTTGCCTTTTCTATTTTCTCTAGTCTATTTAGGAACTCTTCATCCTTAGAAACCAGAGGATTCATAACTTTCTCTCATTTTTTGCTGAGTATTTGGGGGAAATAAGGAAACCAAAGAGCAGAATTTAGAAAGGGGTTCTTCAAGCTCTTTACCTGCTCCTAGAATGCAGAGACCATTTTGCGTTTAACCCTCTGCCAGGCACAACTGATCTCACAGATTCATTGCACACAAATTTTCAAATATCTTAACAGTTAAGTATCATGACTCATCGCTTCTGTATCTTCCCCCTCCACCATAACCTATTGCCAGTCGTGTTTGTGACTTAGTAAAGATGTATTTCATAGCAGCATCTTTGTATGCAATGAATGTGAGTTCAGTTGCGCCCGACTAAGGGTTAATGCATGCATGCCTGCCACCAGGACATAAGGTAGCTTATTGCCTGACCTTTAGCCAAAAACTGCTTCTTCTAGCCTTGATGGTGAAAACATATTTTCTATCTTGGGATTGAATCATCAGTGTTTTCCGTTCACACAGATTTTGACTTTGGAGGATGCTGCTGACAAAGTCTCATACTCCTATAAATTTATTTTGCCTTTAGTCAAGATTAAGTTGTGAAACAAGAGTAGAGCAATCCGTAAATTGATTCATATAGACAGAAAGAATGAATAAATTTTATGTGCAGCAAATTGTCACATAACCTTATTATGAAGTTTGGAATATTTTTTCCATCAGTTTTTGTCTTACAGGTAAATCATATCATACCTTCTATAGAAGTTAGTTCTCTAAAAATATATGCCCTCTCCTTCACAGATTTTAAATCTTCTAACAGAAAAAGAAGTCAATATTGTTTTGCCAAGACATTCCATTGTTCCAAGAACGTTTGTGCTAAAACCTGGAATGGTTCTATTTTTGGGTGCCATTGGCCGCATAGATTTTCTGCAGGTAAGGAAAGTCTATTCCATTAAAAAAAGACTTAGTATTGGGATTTATTTTTTATTTTTTTAAAGATTTTATTGGGGAATTGGAGGAGGGGAACAGCGTTTGAGAATCGGGGAAGGGGAACAGACAAGTTGTGTCCTTTTGTTCTTCAGTCTAGTTGTGGAGGACATCACTTCACTGGCCCATGTTGGTATTATCATTGCGCTCTTCGAGAGTCAGTCGCTTGCTGTCCATTGGATGGCTGCTCACGGCGGCTCACGGCAGCTCAGGAAAGCCCACACCAGCTGCCGGCTAGCCCCACTGCAGCCTACGCCTTCGCCAGTGACTAACGGCAGCCCAGCTCCAGGTCGAGCTGTTGTTCACCATCTTAGCTATAGAGTGTGTGCAGCATCACTGGCCCTCATGTGGGATCCAAACCCGGGCACTGCTGCTCAGAGCTGGCGTCCCAAGCCAACTCTTAACCAACATGCCACTCGGTTGGCCCAGTATTGGGATTTATTTTAAGGTAGCAGATATATGAACAAAATTTGCAAAATGTTGATAACTAGGTCATGACTATATGGGGGGTTGATATACTATTCTTCTGTTTGTTTGAAAATGCCCATAATAAAAACTTGGGAAAAATAAATGGGAAAGAAAAAAACATCAGTAGGCCCTTAAAAACTGTATCTTCAATAGGATGCTGGTGTCCCCATACAGCTTGTCATAAAGAAAAGATACTGCCCCTATCCTGTGGTATTGTTTCACATGGAAGTCATAGGCCAGATCTTTAGGACAGGATTAATATGCATTAAATAAGTTCCACACTTCTTTATATCCCATGATACATACTTTTATATACCATATTTCACCATGTAAAATGAGCACTTTTTTGCCCAAATTTGTAAGGGAAAAATAAGGATGCGCATTATGCATGGATAGTACTAATTCTTTATCTATATAAATGTTTTTAATTCTTTTATTTATGCTTGTGAGTTAAAAGTGTAACTCTCAAAATCAATAACAATATCCATATGCAAAATAATACCCAGGAATACGATAATTTGTTTTGCTGAACTTAGGACGAACTTGCAACAATGAAGAGTTCTTGGCCTTCTATGATGTGTAAATATTGTAAAGTTGTTACCAGTACGAAACATTTCTTGTACTATAATATGTTAAAAAGTAAATGCTAAAATTCCTTTATAATACAAAAAACCAAGTACCTAAATGTAAACAAATAAAATTTTGAATTTAAAAACTAAAACTAAATATTTTTTTCCCTGAAAGTTTGGACCAAAAACGTGGGTGCGCATTACACATGGGAACACATTATACATGGCAAAATACAGTACATGTTTGTTTGGTATTCATTTACATAGCATCATTCTGGGGATTTTATAGTATCTGTAGAATTGTTCCCCATTTTGCCAAAGTGAGGAGAAAAAAGGAAAATGAAACACAGATGTGTCCAACAGCAGTGAATGCAACTTGCAGGCCATTGCTTTGGCTCATTTCTTGGGTTTTGTGTTTGTTCATAATTCCTTGGAAATTTAGCCTTACACATTTAAAACCCTTATATATTTCTTTAAAGCCTGCAGAATCTTAATTTTTTTAATCTAACTTTACACAGGGACAGTTAAAGCAGACAGTATTTCCTTTTAATAATACAAGTATCATTTTTTTAATGGTATCAACAAGCCTATGGAAGGAATCATAGTTTAACATAAATTGTTGAAATGCACCACTTTTGCCATATTGTGCCCTTATTTTGAGGCATTTATATATAATAGTTTGATTACGGCTGCCATATCAGTACTTACAAAGGGAACTTGATTGTTTTTTTAATTGTGCCTTTTAATGTGCTGGTTTTGCAAGTTTTTCATTGTTAAATAACTTCTTTGTTTTTTCAGGGAAATCAGTCAGCTTGGTTTACAGTTGTGGCTTCCAACTTCCTTCCTGTGCACATTACTTCCTTGGACAAGGCGGATGCTATGTATAAGAAGCATGCAGGTCATACATTACTCAAGGTGAGGCAACATGCTTTGATGATTGCATAGTTAGGTTAACATACACCATGACAGTCCCAGAGCCCTGCTAAGAAAGCCTTTGTTGGGCAGAAACCATCTTTGGTCTACCCATCAGCTAGCTCTCCCGTCACCTTGTTCTCCTTGAGGATTCGGCTATAAAGTGAAGTGGGCCCTATAAGAAAAGGATGTTGATTTTAGTTCTTCAGTTGCATTAACCACTTTTGAACTGCTCAGAGGTCCAATTGAACCATTGCAGAAAGTGGTATTGGATAATGCTGGATGAAGAGAGATTAGAGATTTTCTCAACAACTGGGGGATGCTACTGGCACCTAGTGGATGGAGACCAGTGATGATGCTAAACATCCTGCAGAGCATAGGACAGCCCCTCACAATAAAGAATTATCTGGTCCAAAAATGTAAGTAGTGCTAAGAATGAGAAGCCCTGGTCTGCGTGGAAAATTCTCCTGGCTTTTTAATCCCAGACACTTACAGTGTATTCCACCTCGTCTCTTCCATTCTTCCAGCTCTTTTCTTTGACCTGTAAATATGTTAAAATGTCTCTCACCTTTAAAAAACAAAACTCAGTGACCTGTTAATTCCTTCTCTTTACAACCCAGCTTGCTCCTGCTCCTCAAGTCCCATTCTCTGCAGTCCCTATTTGGCCTTTACTTGCCACTGAAATTGGTCTTACTAAATTCACTAAACACTAAGTGGTGACTTTTTTCAGCTCTTTAACAAGACTTGCTGCACACACTCTTGGCAAGTGAGTATTATATAATGGTTAAGATCATTGGAGCCAGACTGGAATCTAATGCCTGCTCCACTCCACCACTTAACAAAGCTGTGTGACTTTAGGCAAGTTTCCTCTACCTTTCTGTGTCAAACCTACATCATGAGGTCATGGAGAACATTGAGTTCCAGGGCACTGTTGTAGGTGCTATGTAAGTGTTTGTGATGGTGGTTGTACAGGTACATAACCTGTTGCAAAAATACCAGGTGCATCCAATACAAAGGTCATTTAACATTAATTAATGATCATACAACTGAAAATAAGTCAAAACACAATATATACATCCACCCTTCAAAGAGGATAAAAAGAAACCTGTCTTGAGAGTAAATAGCTCTCTCTGGATTTCCTAAGAAAACCAGACTGAAATAAAAATTCCATTGAAATAAATGCCCTCAAGTTAATATTCCAGAGACTTGTAGGATTTGCAGAGTGTATGAGCACATAAAGGCAATTGGCAGTATAAGATCTGTTGCTTTTTCTGCACTAGAAGGCTTTTTACTTCTATCACATTTGTTCACTTTTTTTTTTTTTTTTT